GTGAGAAAGACAGTCTGCAGACCTTTTTAGCCAATTCGCAGGCTTTTTCTGGGGAGTTCTTGATCTCATAGTAGAAGACGGAGAAGTTAAGCGCCAAGCCCAAGCGGATGGGATGTGTGGAGTCCATCTTTTCATTGCTGATGTCAGACGCTTCCTGGTATGCTTGCTGCGAGCTTTCAACGGTCTCTGGAGACAGAAAGGAAAGAACCAGAATATAGTACATTTATTTATATGTAAAGGTTGAGCTACAAGTCCACTTGCAGCAATGTAATTTGTGAAGTTTAATTTCACCTAAATCCGCCCGAGCATGGCATCTTAGATAATAACATAGTTTTGAAAATTATACGCTTCTAGTCAAAGCTACAAAAATAAAACATTTTGACTGACTGGAACGAACATAAGAGTAAAGCATAGTTCGACTATACCATATAGTTCAAAGTGTAAAAACAACAAATCTGTGGTTTTATCCAGCAGAGATAGTTGGATTATGTTACCTTTGGACAGACCCAGGGTAGCTAAAGCAGTTTTCAGACTTTGTGCTAAGATAATCAGTGTCTGGCTTAAGCATATTTATTGTACAAGCATGTGAATAGTCGCAATCTTCTCATCCAACTATTGGCAAGAAAGCCAGTAAGCAAATTTTTCCAAAACGTCAACCAATTCATTGAAAGACTGGTGAGATTCTTTATTTTTCAGATTGTAAACTAATCCTATGAACAATAACATGACTTGACTACAAAGCGGTCCCCAAAAAACACTGCTGACTCCAGTTTCAGTAAATTTTGCTAAAAAAAAAAAGTAAGTAAATTCAGGAAATTACTAAACTTTCCCCCCTGAAAATGAAATAGTGGATGTTTTTTTTCTTGTGAAGGAACCAATGGGTTTGGGGCTGAGAGCCACAGACAGGGTGGGGAAACAAAGCACAGACTTATGCATTGTTAGTTTCTCTTTTTGTAACATTTGTTGACAATAAGTAAAGTACAGACCTTTAACATTTTATTTTGACATCTTATGAACAATTAAAGATGTTTCATCTAGCCTTGAATCTATTTAAGGGACATTTAAGTGGAAGTGTGGAAATACTGGGAATCCACGTGGCAGAATGCCTCCCAGTCAACACGCAGTGGTGATTTCATGATCAGTTTTTCAGAAGTTGTCAGCTTCCTTAACACGTCTTTTGGGAACTACAACATTATAGACAATAACTGTAACAAATAACTCTTGAATAACAACTTATAACCAATTTTAGTATTAGGAGGCACGCCCAGGTAACTGATCAGACAGCAGGGACATTTCTGTATCAGCACACCAATTCCCTTTAGTTAATAAAGAGGTTCAATCTGGAATACACAATGCTAATACGAGAGCGGTGATTCAAGGTAGGGGTGAAATTCTGTCACTTTATTCTTACTTGTAGGAAAGCTAGAGGCCCTCTTAATTAGTTTCCTCCCACTCCTGTTTTACCGTCCTATGAGATGGGGCCCTGTGGTCACACGCCTGTGAGGCATTGCCCTACTTGATGTCATTTCCAGCTCTTAGCTCCAAGACAAAATCTGACACATTCCTATTTGGGGTGTGAAGAGGCCCAGATTAAAAAAACGACAGGGTGGGGTGGGCTTAAAGACTCCCCACTGCAAAGTAGTAGTAGTAGTAGTAAGAAACAAAAAAACATCACTGAACACTCAACAGTAAGACATACCTTTCTACATATAATAAATAAATGTAAACTCACTTGTTTTCTCATCTCCAGTTGCAACCTCGGCGAGGTATCTATAGTAGTCGCCCTTCATCTTTAGATAGAACACTGTGCTCTCGGGACTTGTGGAGTTTTTAATTAAATAATCATCCAGCAGTTTCTGTGAAGAGAGAAAAGGTCAGATTGATTTATTTAGATGCACCGAGTACAGAATACACAATCACACTGATGACGAACACAATCTGAAACATGATTTTACATCAGAATTCACTGAAACAGGCTTCATGCTACATTTACAGACTAGTCAAACGGTGGCAAATAAAAGGTGAGACTAGATTTAGGTGTGGCTCAGTACAGCATTAGAGAGCACTACTCCCTTTTCTCTTCATAGCTGTTCAGCTCAGTGATTAATGGGTACAGTTCTGCTCCATTAAGAATCAAGTACATGTGCTCAGCCGGTACCATTTAGAGGAAACATTTCGCTCTGTGTCAGCTTCAGCTAAAGTTGCTCCAAAATTGTGTACAACCAGGCCAGGCCTCTAGTGTGTCCTAACTGTCTTCTGCCCCAGATTCCTCTCTTTGGAGAAGCGCTCTCCTCTTGTCAGCACAGTTTGGGGTCCTACTGCTTATTTTAACAGACATGGTATCCTTTTTTGTATTCCTCACTGAAACATACTCGCAAATGTTCCACTAGCAAAGTCGAGGGTAAGACTCAAGCGCTGCCCGTGTTGCGTCATGCTCCCGGCCGCCACGGAGCTCAAGAAGGACCACGCAGGCAGCGTGTGAACGTATACTGGCTGGCAAGTTCGGGGCCGCCCAGTCTCCAGTTTATATAATGCTGAAATAAGGTCAAAGGTAACAGCTGACAAGAAAATGTTAGTCGTAAACTCATAAAACAGCAAGAGGATTTAAAAGCCCAGTGTGTGAGATTTAAAATGATCTATTGGCAGAAATGGAATATAATACACACAACTATGTTTTCATTAACGCGTTATCACCTGAAAATAAGGACCGTTGTGTATTTGTTACCTTAGAGTGAGCCTCTTATGTGTACATACACCACAGGTAGACTTCCACTATGTTTCTACAGCAGCCCAGAACAAACAAACACTGGCTGAGTTTCTGGTTTGTGCTTGAAAGGGGAGGGTGAAGCGAGGGAACTGCAATCTGCAACTACACTGCTAGTTGCCAGTTCTTTAAAACAATATAATAATAGTAGTAAAAGAAGTGGTAATGTAGCAGAAATATAAGACGCGTGTTGCAAATCCCATCTTGTGATTACACTGTAGATTAAGTCATCTGTCTTTAAATGGACACGAGAAGATTACCATGGCTAATCTGTGTCAGTGAAACTGTGGATTATGCTCAAATTAACCGATTTAGAGAGCAGATTAACCGTTCACTCAACCCTAATGACAATCCTGACTGAGAGACAATAAAGGTGCTTACAATAGATGATGGTGATAAAGATCATCTTTGCTTTCAACCTAAAAAGAAAAAAGAAATAAATGAAAAATAATAAAAAAAAGCAGCTTTCCCTTCCAAGTGCTGGGAGAAAGAAGCAACCCGTGTGTGAGCCAAACCCACCGCAGCAGCCACTCCCCAGTCATTTACTGACACAAAGATCGGCTCGGCCAAAACACGCGCACGTCTCCAAGTACTAAGCACTCTTCTTTCACTGCATGCTCTGCACAATAGACAAGAGTAGCCTTGCTCTCAGTGCGTTCACACAAAGCTCTGATTTCAGTCACCAGAAAGCACAAACAGTGTTGATGGATTAAAGCCTGACTGGTTATGTGTGTAGGTATTTCTTCACTCAGCAAATCACAATCAGACACAAAGATGACTGAACAAGAAAAGCATGTGGCAGTCTATGACAGCCGGGAGAGGTGAACCTGATTCACATTCTTGTAGTATTTGATTTACTCTGAAGCTTCAGGTGCCGTCTACAGTGTCAGAAGAAGACTGGACAGGCTCAATCTTCTCAGCTGGCAGCCTGTCTGCTCTACAAGCCCTACATTCACATCTCGTGTGGAAACTAGAAGCCAAACATCCCCGAGCTTCTGCTGCCTCCCAGCTGAGACCGGCTTTCAGCTGAGGTGTAAGTCCGTCTGTGTAGTCTGCAGGAAATAAAGAGAGGGGCACACACGCAGCTCACTCTTCTACTGCGGTCTCTGCACTTCTGCCTTTAAAGTAACCTGGTCTGCAGACAAGTTATGGCACGATGACCGACACACCCTCCTCCGCTGACGAACCCTCGGTCAACACTCACTAGCGGAGATACTGGAAGCTGAGTCACAGTGTATATTCTCAGGAACACAAAGCTGAAAGCTGGTGAAAAACGAATGGCCACTGCGGCTTTGCGGTGCGTTTTTAAAGACAGCAGCTCGGGGAAATTATCTCAATCTTACAGCTAAGCTTCCACCCGTATCTCCTCTAATCCATTATCAAGGCAGGCAGGAAATAATGTAAAGCACCAATCTGTGCTGTTGCATTAGATTAAACAAGAGGTGAAAGCCCCCC